GAAATCTTAAGTTTTAAAAACTAAAATCAGAATTAAATATTACCATTTACATTTTAGGGTCAAAGAAAACAGCTTTGGCAAGGGTCACCAATTTGCCACTTCTGTGATGGTTCTTACGCTGCAACAAAGGTAAAAGACATTTTCTGGGGGTTCAGTGAACCTCACTCATTATGTTCCTGAGCCTTGATCACATCTTGGTCAGCTTCAGCATGTTAGCACATCTGTAGAATAGCACAATTAGAATGTTCACTTTAAAGTGAAAAATCAGGGGCTGGATTCAATTACCAGCACTAGGTTCAATTACCAGCACTCACATACTGGCCCATAGCTGTCTGTAACTCCAACTCTAGGGGATCTGATGCCCTCTTCTGACTTCTTGGGCACCAGGAAAGCATGTGGTGTATAGACATATGCAGAGAAAACACCTATGTACATAAACTAATAAAAAAATAATTACAAAAAAATGTAAAAGTAAAGAATACCTTAGGTGCCCAGTAGTATTAAATTTCAAACTGATTGACCAAATTTTAGAACTGAAAATGGCCTTCTATCACCTATCCAGTCTCCTTTCCTCACTAAGACAGTGTCTTAGTACATAGCCCTGGCTGGCCTGGACACTAGACCAGCCTGGCTTCCAGTTCAAGAGACTGCCTGCCTCCTGAGTGATAGCATTAAAGGTGTGTGCCGCCATGCCCAGCCTGTAGTTAGGTTCTAGTTCAGGTAACAGCTAATCATTCATCAATTCACATACATGCGTTCTTTGATTTTCCACATTACCAATAAACAAGAGGTGGCTTATACAAAACAACCTGAGAACATGCAATACAAATATATAAAACCACGACTGTAAAAGAAATTAAGCAGCAGAGAGGAGCTTAGCTTTAGGAAGAGCAGCTCTGTTCTTCACTGGTTGGGTAACAGTAGGCAAGACATGTAGCATAGCCTCTTGGTAAAATTTAACCCTTGGGCCACCGGTGGATGTGGAAAGATGAGAAGTTCAAAGTCATCTTGTACTATACAGAACCAGTTTGAGGACAATAGCCAATAATATGGCATCCTGTGCAGAAGTTTTATCCTTAACTCCAACAGGAAACTCACCATGGACAAATGACTTCCTTTATATTTATATGTGTGCAACTTGCTGCATATCTAAGTTACTTTTGATATTTATAAAACGTGCTGAGTAAAGTCCCCTAGGATTTGCCCCTGTCACTTAATACAGTATCACTAAAACTTATGACTAGTTCATTCATGCTTCATTGTATAACATTACATTATATGATTGTGTCAGCTGGGTGTAGTGGTGCACACCCTAAATCCCAGCGCTTGGGAGGCAGAAGCAGGAGGATCTCTGAGTAGTTGGAGGCCAGCCTGGTCTACCCAGTGAGTTCCAGGACAGCCAGGGCTATATATAGAGACCCTCCCTCAAAAACAAACAAACAAACAAACAAAACATAATTATGTCATCTTTATCCACTCTACTAATAAGCATTTAGCCATTTTTTTCTTTCTGCTGCAATGGTAGACTCCCACTCTCTCTCAGTTCAGCAGGATCAGTCTTGCTCTCCATTCTTCATCTCCCAGGTAGACAGACATGGTAAACATGGGGCTCACCTTGTGTTTGTCTCTCTCTCTTTTTTAAGATTTAAAAATTTTTATGTGCATTGATGTTTTGCCTGTATGTGTGAAGGTGCCAGATTCCCTGGAACTGGAGTTACAGGCAGCTGTGAGCTGCCATGTGAGTGCTGGGAATTGAACCCACGTCCTATGGAAGGGCAGCCAGTGCTCTGATCCGCTGAATCATCTCTCCAGCCCCGTTGTTTCTTCTTTTAAATAGTGTGCCTTGCCTGCTGCAGTTCCTGAGACAGTTGCCCGTATATTTTGTCATTTTAAGGTTGTTAGGGATAGATAGCGGGTTAAATGCAATACCAATCAGTACATCCAATTCTCTCCTAAAAGTTTTATTTGGGGCACTTAATCCTTAATAAAGCTAGTGTCTATAGACCATTATCAAAAGTCCAAATGAAGCTTCATTTAAACTACTACTGAAAGCCACATCTACACAGGTTGTGTGATTGGCCTGAAGCAGATGTAACAATTTCTTCCCTGTGGTAATCATTCAATGTGCTGCTGCTTTTGTTTGTTTTTTCCAAACAGGGTTTCTCTGTATGGCCCTGGCTGTCCTGGAACTCAGTCTGTAAACAAGGCTGGCCTCAAACTCAGAGATCCTGTGTCTCCTGAGTCCTGGGATTAAAGGCCTGTGCCACCACTGCCTGGCTTCACGTGCATCTTCTTTAACTTCGGACTTCAATTCACTGGTAAACTATAAACATAAAATATATACATAAAATATATACATCCATTCACACATTGCTTTTATTGGGGTCTGCACTGTAGCAGTCTTTGAAAATTAGAACTAGTAACATTTATGTTAATGACCTTGATCATGTGCTGGGAACTTTATATAAGTACTTTTGGCATATTAATTCATTTAACCCTAATAATCCTAAAAAAGCAGGCACTGTAAATGAGAAAACTGTACTATGGAGCTGAAATCATTCACACAAGGTAGTCTGTAGTGGAAGTTCAAACAGATAAACGCTGGATTTTACTATGTTATACTACCATTTAATAGAGCAGATTGTAACATCCTCCACTATAAAAATTAAGGAGCCCTCTGCTTCGGCTCTGCTCAAAGGGAGGCATGAGGCCTGAGTCACTTAAAAAACCAAAATCTACTAACCTGAGTTATGGACAATTCAAAAATCTTAAAGAGAATTATAAAACAATTCTTTTTTTGTTGTTTTGTTTTGTTTTTCAAGACAGAGTTTCTCTGGGTAACAGTCCTGGCTGTCCTGGAACTTGATTTGTAGACCAGGCTGGCCTAGAACTCAGAGATCACCTGCCTCTGCCTCCTGAGTGCTGGGATTAATGGCTGGTGCCACCACTGCCCGACTAACATTGCTTTATCTAATCTAGAGTAGCCTTTATTTAATCTCTAGTCTCAAGGATAAGGGTCCCCACAAACCATTTCAACTTCTGTCTGGTTCTTTATTTAGATTCATCCTTTTAAAGATGCACCCATGTGGACTAATTTTCATGTACCCAAACTTTTGCCCATCTAGGTATCTGATGGCCAGATACAGCCTTGTTTTTCACTGAATTGTATGTGGATTTCCTTGTTTGCTTTTTTTTTTCAGACAGTATATAGCCCTGGATGTCCCAGAACACTCTATGTAGACCAGGACACAAACATAAATCTGCATATGCCACCATGCCCTGCTTTTTTTTTTTTAACCTTGACATTTACTTTATTTATATATGTATTTGCCAACAGGATTTCATGTAGACCAGGCTAGTCTGTAGATGACTTTGACTCTTGGTCCTCCTGCCTCCCACATGATAGGATTCTAAGCATGCTGCAGCTGGCAAAGCAACTGCTTTATTTGTCTTTCCGATTTATTGACTCGTTTAGCAGCGCATGGGATTGATCCCAAGGCCTTGTGCACGCTAGGCAAGCTCTTTAACAAGCTACAGCCCCTGGCCTTGTTTTCTCATGGTTGCATGGTCTGTTTCTCAAAGAGGGTCTTGCTGTATAACCCAAGCTGGCCTGGAACTCTCAATATTCCGTCCCAGCCTCCTGAGTGCTGGGGTTCCAGGCATGCAGTGTCTGTCTGTGTTCACACACTGTCAGCAGACTCTGCACCTGTGTCTGCAATCCTGCTATTCAGATGTCACAGCAGGCACTGTCCACTACTGAGAACTATACCTACTCATCCATTTGCTCATGACTCTATGGAGAAGAGATCTTCTTTCATACACACCCCAGGTTACTAAAAACTTACAACCTCTTAGACACTGTCTCAGTCACTGGGTTAGATGTAAAACTATGTCTTGAAAACAAAGATGAAAGTGCCATATTGTTTCTACCAAGTGTGACCTGTCCATGAGGCTGTGTTCCCTATGACATCACCATGACAAAAATTGCTCATTTGGAGCTGTTGGAGGTTAGCCTCCTACTTCAGGATTTTGGCGATGTTCATACATTTTTTTATATTAATTAAAATTTTTCATTTATCTTACCTACCTACCAGTTTCCTCTCCCTCTTCTCCTCCCGCCTCCCATTTACCCCCTTCCCCATCCACTCCTCCATCTCCAGCAACAAAGCATGGCACACCAAGTTGAGGCAGGACCATGCTCCTCTCCCTGCATCAAGGCTGGGCAAGGCAACCCAGCATGGGGCACAGGTTCCCAAAAGGCAGTTCAAGCACCAAGGACAGGTCCTGACCCCACTGCTGGGAGCCCCACAAATAGACCAAGCTACACAACTGTCACACTCACGCAGACGGCCTAGGTCGGTCCCAAGCAGGCTCCCTAGGTGTTGGTTCAAGGTCTGTGAGGTCCCACAAGCTCAGAGTCCCGTCATATGTCCTGCTTTTGTATGAGGCCTGTCCCCAGTCATTTCTGTTTAGAAGTGAAGAATAGTCCAAGGTCCCCATGAGACAGTCTAAGTAGGCACTTACTTTGAGTGTTTACATCCGTGTCATCTTTTGCTACAGTTTGTTTCGAAAAGTCCTATGGACTACTTCTAGTTTTGTTTTGGTAGACTTCCACCCTCTTGGCTTCTTTCCGTTTGCTGATGTGTTTGTTGGTTTTGATTTAAAAATATTTTTGCTGTCAATTGGCAATTTCCTACTAGTAGACACTGCCAAGAAAGGTGCCCATTCCTGAGACTATCGTTTACCATTAGCTACGTGACTTAACAAAGTGCTAGAGACAAGCAACCTGAAAGGCTGTACAAAGAAATCTTCATGTTCCCGTTCTACAGGTAGATATCTATCACATACAGCAGAATTCTAAACACCTCAGGCACACATTCCTCTAATAACTATAGTTTGTATTATTTCAGCTACTGACCCTATATCCTGTGAATAAAAAGCCCGAGTTGATTGTTTAAGTGTGCAATTATATATAGAAATGATTACAAGTACTGAAAAGCTACGGATTAAAATACAATATTTTATTTTTTCTCACCTAAAAAACAAGCAACCCAGAATTAAGATATACATAAGCTTCTCAAGTTTACCCTAATAAAATTTTGAATATTTGTACAATTTCTACAGAAACATACAGTGTATCAAAATCTGCATAAATCAAATTTATAAAATGTGTAGAAATGCATAGTGATATTATCAACTTACAAAGCAAGGATATGGGGATTATTTCCAAAGCAGCCTAAAGTACAAAATAGTCATCATGGCGGCAGCTTCTGATGTTTTCATGTGTGGTAAGGTTTCTGATTTCAATATATAGAATCATGTTCGTACAGTGTCCTAACGAATTGTACTAAAAACAATTTAATTTACCCATAAAATTACATGCACAGTTCATGTGCAACCTTTCTTAGCCTATGCATAGATACAAGGTCATTATCTATTCAACATGGAAAATAGTGTTAATTTCAAACACAAGTAATTACCACTTCTCTTATTTTCCTTTTTATAGTTGATTTATTTGCAATTATATAAGCATATAAATGCATTTCTTTTTAAATGTCCCTAGAGATGAATGAAAGTTTAAATAGTTGATCACAGATCAGTAGCAAAATACAAACTGACAATTCAAAATTATAAATAAAACTCTGCTCAGGATGTTTAAGTTTTACTGTCCAAATTGAAGAACTAAGGTTAGAAGAAAAAAAATTGTAGACTTTTCTTCTAAACAAATGTAGGCTTTTTTTTCCCCATTTTTAAGCCTTAATTAAAAATATTTCCTTCTGGCAGTAGTTTGTGAATTTCTTTCATTGTAATGATATCATGATTATAAGATCAAAAATGCTTAATTTACCTGTCCCCAAATTATCACATTGCTTTTCTTTTTTGGCACTCAATGTAGACATTTTAATTTTTTTTGGGTAAGAGAAGACTTCTTAGAAATTAAAATTTGCAACATTTGGTTCTCTTAAAGTAGGTATTGTCTTAAATAAATGTTCAAATTAAATCATTTAATTGGTAAATATTAAAAAAAAAAATTCCTAAAAAAGCAATTAAGGAACCCTACAGAACTAACACCTAACTTAACGGAATGCAGTTCACATTTGTTGATGATCTGTGTTCTTCGATGCTAATTTTCTTAAATTAAAAAACAATGTACATGGAATTTCATTTGGATGAAGACAAGTATCAGCTCATCTTGGTTTCACAGCTTAGGCTGTACCGCAGTTTTCTAAGGCTTTATAGCTAACAAGGGCTTCGGAATTCCTTCCTCAGAACCAACCCTAAGTTGTTGACGCTGGACTTATTGTGTTGTTATTCTGCCCTAACCCCCTTTTCAAGTTTCAAACTGAGAATTACTTCCGGTTTTCTAGAGTGACAGATGCTGGGGAATGTAGATGCAAAATGTAGGTGGGCAGTTTTTCTTAGTAGGAAGACCCCTTTGCTAGCCTCAAAGTTGGTGTGAGCGAGGGCGTTGAGAATACCAGCAGGCAAGCGAGTTAATGCCACAGAATCTTCAAGCCCTATGGAACGGCCTTGAGATGGTCCCCACTGTTCTTCTTTCAGCCATATATCATTCAACTTCATAGTCAATGGCAGCCCAGAAATTCATTTCTGAGTGATAGAGGTATCCCCCATCCAGGTGACGGTCCATCCATTGTTACCATCGTATAAATTTCACTATAAGCTCTCAAAAAGTATACTGAGAAATGAAAGAGGCACTAAATGTGTTGAAATTCACCTTTCAAACAAGCAGCATGACTGAAGGAAGGCCACCTTGGCTAAAGACCTGTGGCAGTGCTTCAGAAAGATGTCGAATTAAATAAAGACACAGCAGGTTGATAACCACCAAGTCAAATACGAGAAGCTGGTTACTCCAACCTTTTTTTTTTTTTTCAAGTGTGTTAACAACAACAACAACAACAACAACAACAAAAACCAAACTGCCTTTCAGACCCCTGAGTGTATTCCCAAAGAAGACAACATATGCTTTAACTCTGTTCTGAAAGCCGAGTTAAAGGCACAGATTACCAACGTCATCTTAAAACAAAAGAAAAACGATGTAAACATCTACAGAGTTTAAGGTAAAAGCAGTTTTGTAAACAGTAACTGCAGATGATAATGTTATTGTAAAAATCACAGTTTATCAACGTCCTTCGAGCTGATCAGAGGTTCCAGGTTTGGAGCTGTACAGAATTAATAACAATGGTTGCAGCAGGTTCCAGGCGGGTTTCAGTCCTCTCTAAACGTACTTGTCAGTAGGTAGATTGTTGGCTTCTTTTATCCGTTTTTAAATACTGTGAATGTTATTCATTTCCCACTTCTGAGTCGTTTTACTGGCGTCACAGCTGGAGATGAAGACTTGATGCAGGACCTCTGATCGATCTAAGCACTTTCCTGAAGGGATGTGAGTAAACCTGTGCAGGTTCTGGAAAACACGGGGAGGGAAAGGAAGTTTGAAATCTGGACTCTGATATCACTGACACCAGAAGCTATTACTTGGCCTTCCACAGAGGGCAATTCAAGCACACCGGACAAGCACGCATCAGACCTTGAATGTCAGTTTTCTTAGCCCTCCCTTTATTACGTCACTGTGTGCTGCCGGTATGTCAAGTTCAATACACACAAATTGAAGGTCAGTATCTTCCCCTCCAAACCCTTTCTTGGGTTCTTATTCCGGCTAAAGGCAATGCCAGCTTCCCAGTCCTAAGGGAATCATGCTTCTCCCTCATCCACTCCGATTCTCTCAGTTCTCCACGGTTAACATTTTCAGTGTCTCCGGCTTACGTCTCTTCTTTCCTACCTCCCAAGCTCTAAAACAGTCCTCATCATATGCTGTATATTTCTTCAGTTCAGCTCATAACTTTTCAAAGAAAGGTCCTCACACTATCCAAGACTGGGTGTGTCTAGCCAAACTTATTTTCAAAGTGCAAAAGAATGGATTCACTTTCCTTTGCACCATATCGACATTTGTTCGGTCGGAACAGAAGTGACGGTGAAAGCATTCCTGTCCTCGCACCGGTCAAGCAGCGATGCACGACAGACTGTCAGCAGTCCTACCCGTCACTGCCATGGACTCAGCTCCAACAAGTCCCACTTTCATGTAAGGATGCCCACAATGAAGGTGTGGGGAGGGGGTTCGAGACAGGGTTTCTCTGTGCTTGCTCCAACTCACAGAGATCTGCCTGCCTCTGCCTCTCAAGTGCGAGGATTAAAGGCGTGCGCCACCACTGCCGGTCAAAGCTTACTAATCTTTAATTATACCTGACCCTCCTGTATCCTATAAGAAACATCGAGAGGAAATAGACAATGCTACTGAAGTGCTTCCACATGGTAGAGCACAGTGGGATCTTGAGGAAGGCACATGGAAAAGGAATACCTGCCCACTCTTTCATACCCTGTCATTTTTACTCAATTCAACAAACTATGATGATTCAAACTTGGATAATATCTGTTACTATAAGAAAAATAACAACAAAAATCCCCAAACAAAGAAAAAAATACTTGACAGTGTTGGTTCTAGTTTTCAAGCAAAAATCAGAATTTTGAGAAACTTCTACTACGAAGACTTGACACAATTTAAAGACTTCTCCAATGAAACAATCCTTACATTCCTGATTTTCTGCATATTGTACAATGGAACATGTCAGCATTTGGGAGATCTTTGTAACTTGGTGAACAGTATTAACTTAGTAATAGTTTAGCACAATTTGAAAGATAACAAAGTTATAAATTCTTCCAATTTTATTTCAAATTCCAGAAATATTTTTAGTAATAGCCTAAATGGAAGCTGTTTGGGGAGAGCGTTGGTATCTTTCTATTGTTGTTTAGAGGAGGGAGTGGAGACTGGTCTGGATGTAAAATAAAATAAAAAAAAATTGAAAAAAGAAAATTCTCATAGCCAACAGGGGGGACAAAAAAAGAAGAAGAAACAGGGTCTCAATATTGCAGCACAGGCTGGTTTCAAATTCACAACCCACCGGGTGGTGGTGGTGCACACCTTTAGTCCCAGCACTCAGGAGGCAGAGGCAGGCGGATCTCCGTGAGTTCGAGGCCAGCCTGGGCTACAGAGTGAGTTCCAGGCCAGCCAGGACTGTTACACAGAGAAACCCTGTCTTAAAACAAACCAAAACCAAAACCAAAAAACTTCACACCCTTCCTGCCTCTGCCTCACAAGGTTTGGGATGGTTTGGGATCACAGGCTAGCACAGCAGTACTGAGTGTCAGTAATTCTGAAGCGTTAAAGGGGGATGGGGAAGCCAGAAAATCTGAGAGCTCTGTTCAAGCTGAACTTCTCATCAACCTATATGTCACAACCTTGTCCGAATAATTTTCCTAAAAGTATCCAATGTTTCCTATGGCTACTTAGAAAAACGTCAGTTCAAATCAGGAGTAACCTAAATTTGGTTCTCAGGGATTTCTACACATCTTCACGCTGGATCTCTGTTTAGTTAGTTTTTCTCTATGAAAACTCATCAGAAACAATTACATTCTTGTAGCTAGAGTTTTCCTGCCTGGCCCACAGTCAGGGCAAATCTCTCTCACCTGCCAGTCCCACAGCCGTCAGACCCGACCAAGTAAACACAGAGACTTGTATTGGTTTCAAACTGTATGGCCATGGCAGGCTTCTTGCTAACTGTTCTTTCAGCTTAAATTAATCCATTTTTATAAATCTATACCTTGCCACATGGCTCGTGGCTTACCGGCATCTTCACATGCTGTTTCTCATCGTGGTGGCTGGCAGTGTCTCTCTGACTCAGCCTTCCACTTCCCAGCTTTATTCTCCTCCTTGTCCCGCCTATACTTCCTGCCTAGCCACTGGCCAATCAGTGTTTTATTTATTGACCAATCAGAGCAACACATTTGCCATACAGAACATCCCACAACACATTCTTGTCTTTTTTCCTTTCTGATAGCATTTTGCTTATTTTTTTAACTGCGATTTTTCTTCTCTACATTATAGAATAGCATGTTTTAGATATTTTCCACATGCTCATATAGTCTGTCACATCTCTGGGCCCCAGTGGAGTGATGTACAAATGTGTCTTTAAAAAAAATCTAAAACACACGGGGCGGTGGTGGCACATGCCTTTAATCCCAGCACTCAGGAGGCAGAGCCAGGTGGATCTCTGTGAGTTCGAGGCCAGCCTGGTCCACAGAGTGAGATCCAGGACACGCACCAAAACTACACAGAGAAACCCTGTCTCGAACTGTGCCCCGCTTCCCAAAAAAACCCCAAAAAACTAAAACACACAGATTTTTTTTTTTTTAATTTGAGGGTTGGTACTGAGGATTAAATTTATTACTATGTTCTATCTCTGAGTTCTATCCCCAGCCGACATCCATTCTTTTGAGGACAGGGTCTCCCTATGTAGTCCAGGCTGGCCTTGAACTCACAATCCTTCTGCCTCAGCCTCCAGAAAACTACTCGACTTCTTGACGGTAGTTTTGGTCTGCTAGAGTCTCTTATACTTGAAAACCTGCTGCTCTCACAGTCCCTACCACTTACTGCTCTTCATTTTTACTTGTGAAAATAAACACTATTTATCTGTCAGGATTTATTAATCCTGTTAATAACAAGTTGTCCTTTCCAACTTGTTACTAAAAAAAAAAAAAAAAAAATCAGGCCTTGTGGGCTGACTTAGTTTCAAGGGCTCAAGACCTGCGTTCAATCCCTGAGACCCACTTAAAGGTGGAGGGAGAGAAGCAATTCCATGAAGCTGTCCTCTGACCTCCACATGCCTGCCGTAAGTTGTGAGTGTCCCTTTCCTCACATGTATCACACACGCTATACAAGTAAGAACAATAAATAAAATAAAATTCAGCAGCTAGCATGTTCGGTAATTATCCGTGAAAGACAGTGCCTAGGGATATTACTCCATAAAGAACAAAGCCCTCCCAACAGGGGTGGGAGAGCAAGGATTAGATGACTAGAACGGAGGGCTTCTCTGGGTCCTTTCAGTTTCAAAAGGCTTTGCTAATGTTGTAGTTCATAACGACATAACTTGATTTATCCAGCTGTTCACTTTGAAAAGTTATACATTCCTGAGCGTGTGAACACGTGACTCTTGGGCTCTCCTCCTTCTTTTGGTCTATCTTGTCCAAACAGGCTTTGATGTGATAGGGTTGTATTTGATTACTATCCCTCAGAAGCCTGTTTGTTTTCTAACAAGAGACAGAAAGGGAGGGGATCTGGATGGGAGGGGAGGTGGGGAGGACCTGGGAGGGGTAGAGGGAGGGGAAACTGTAATTAAGATATATTATGTGAGGGGGGAAAATCTATTTTCAATCAAAGGGAAAAAAAAGAAAATTATACATTAGTCCATTAATGTGTTTGAATCTTGCCAGAAAGCTTTACATATGCACAGCCGAAACAAAAAAGCAGCCCAAGAGTCAGCAGGGTCATAGGAATAAACCAGGCCTTTAAAACAAGCGGTGAGCAGAGGACAAGGAAGCAGGAAAGACAAGGAAGCAGGCAGGCCCGTGTCCAGTTCTCATTTGCCTGTCTCTACTGCCACCTGCTGGACAGCAGGAGTCAACCCCTGTCTTTTTTTAAATGGTCTAAGAATATTGCTGGTATTTTAGTGAATGACTCATTTACATTTTTAACACTGGATTTAGATCTGAAAACAACGGTGGTAACTGGCTCCTGGAACACTGGCATGCCTGAGCTTCTGAAATTAGCGTCCACCCTCCATGCCCATTGCGGTGGTCTCACTGCGTGCGTGAAGACATTGCTCCAGAGAACGTAAGTGATGCCTCATTCTAGAGCCCAAGCAAACCTGCACAAATAACTAACGCAGAAAATCCAAGTCACAAGCATGAACATTTGGTGTTCAGAATGTAGCCATCTAAATCCGACAAGCTATTTGTTACTGAGGATGGGGCAGCATACGCTATCCCAGGAGCTGGAGCACAGCGTACCTTGAAGTACTGCCATTCCTTAAATTCATTTAGGTTGCAGTGTGTGATCATGACCTTAGATCCGTCGGGCCCTTTTGTCAAACACTGGTCGTACTGCATGAGCTGATTTGCTTCGTTGATTCGGAAAAGCTATTAAACAAACAAATAGAATAAAGATAACTTTCTGGCCAATGCATGTTTTACAAGAGGAAAGAAGCTTACCTCCTATAATTAAACTGAATAACTTACTTATCGTTCTATAATTTTGGGGCATGTTGGGAACCGTTAGTCTGCAGACAAGAACTACACTTAGTCTGGAATCAGTGAAGACCTCTATTAACACTTTAATTACATTCTTTATTCTTTAGCCTCTAATACACAGAAAGGGTAATTAACACAGATTTATCATGTACCAACAATAAGAAAATTAAAAATTATAAGTATACCTAATAGTGTTTCACAACTGAAATTAGACATATGAAAAATATCTATATAAGGAAGCAAGAAAATATATGCGTAAAATATATAGTACTGGCAGTAGTACCCCGGTTTATTATGAAAAAGTGTGACTTACCATAGAGATCAGCTTACTTAGTCATGATTAATGTATGTTCCCATATGAATCTATTATTACTTCTATGCAGACATTTCTTCACTCTTATGTGAAATCAACACTGCCAATAGTCCTTATTTAAGCGGAATGCTTTAGCAGTCAGCTTTTACTGAATGTTTTTAATTTATCAGACAAAACTAATAAAGAGCCAAACTAAACCCTCTCTGTCTGTGATCAAGTGTGGTGGCTCTCAGGACTGACCAATCCTGGGAGAAGGAGACTTACCTGGTTCCCGCCCATCCTGTGGCAGGGTCCTAGTTCAACGAAGCCCCCATTTGTTTTCCCCATGCTATCAATGCAGTATGCAGTCTCCAAGCCTCGGATCTACAGGTACAGAGAGAGCCAACATAGAGGAAACAGTATGGTTTGTAATAAACGAGGACCAGAGGAAAAGATTCAGTTTCAATATACAAGTCATAGAGAGTTCTCTGTTGCGGTGCCAGGCTGTCCCGGGTATCACCATCCTTTAAGTATATTTTACCATCACCACCATTATCATCATCATTATCATCATCCTCATCCTCATCTTTGAAATCATGAGCTGAAGCCAACGCTGAAGTGAGCTCATTCCACTTCAGGGCACTAGCCCATACTGTGCTAGAAAATACCATAGAAGAAACAAAATCCAAGTGACCCTAAGAAAAATGTCCGGAGTAGAGCGTTCATGTGAATGAGATGTAAACAGAGGAAAGCTATGTAACGACAGTGGGGACAGACACCGGCTCTAGATATCAAGGATAGACCCTGCGCCCCATGTCCTCCTCTCAGTGGCTATGTGGCACTTCTGTGGCAGCTGCCTCAAGGCTTCTCAGTACAAAGAGCATGGCCCATGGACCCTGCAGTGTGGCTCTCCTCTAACTACCAACAGCAGAAGCAAAAGCAAACACAGGTTTCCAAGTTCGGAATTGCAATTTTGTGCTGTAGTATTTGGATAAAGTGCTTGATTCTGTAAGATATGGATGAGAGCTTTTGAATACATGGAGATGTGCAAGTCATGGTCGTCAGGACCATCTAAAAATGGGGGACAAATGGGTGTTGGTCAGTGGACGAGATGAACGTGCAGATGGAGCAGCCCCTACTGCCTGGGGTCAGCTCAGACTTGTCAGGAGACAGCTTTTAAATAGGGCTGTACTCTGGAAGGGAAATGCCAGAATTGGACAAATTCCTCTGAAGACGTAGTTAGAAGAGAAATGGTAAAAGGAGGGGGAAAACCCTTATTAATCCATTCATTCCTGCATACATGTGTCTATTCACCCATGAAATACCAAGGTGGGTACCTACCACGGGCAGGCATGTCATAGTCCTTGATATAGTCTCTGATATGTAAGTGAACAAAATAAACACACCCGCTTCAGTGAAGTCACATTCTACAGCAAAAGAAAGGCAGAGGAGAAGCAAAACATGTAATGGACAAATAACATATCTACCATGTTAGTAATACCGGCCACAGAGGGGAAAAAAGAAAAGCAAGAACGCTGAGGAAGGGGCTAGGGAGTGGAGGGTGTCGTCGGGTAGATCTCATCATCAAGGACACAGATGGAAAAATGTGAACGAGGTCTAAGTCAGCCATGCTGCAGATGTCCAAAGCACAGCACTATGGGCAGAGGGACAGGAAAGCAGGAAGTGTGAGGAGGAGCAGCAGGGCTGAGGTAGAGTCAGGCAAGCAGGGGCAGGTGAGGCGAGAGAGGAAGGAGGAGCTTGAGGCCACGAGAAAGGGCTTTGCCTTCGCCCAAGCAACTGGGGTGCCGCTGTGGGCTTTTATAAGAAGTGATGTGACCCGACTTGCATTTTCAAAGCCATGCTGACTGCCTGCTGTATTTAGAACAGGCTGCAGTAAGAGCACGTTAGTTTTGCTGAGAGGTGACCGAGTCAAGGTAAGGAAGGGCTAGATTCTGAAACTGATGCAAGTGTGAGGAAAAGGTTCAAAGAAGACTACCAAGTCTTTGGTTTGCACAATGAGCCAAGATGAGCTAGAGAGACAGAGAAAAGGAGTTCAATTTCAAACTCACGTATTGAGTGTTTATCTAGGCTCCGGGAGGGAGAGTTGAGTTGGAGGTGGAATCTAACAGTCATTTGTACAAAGATGAGTTTAAAGCCAGCAGACTGGCTAAGGTCAAAGGAGATTCATTTCTTCCACCCAGAGGGTTTTTGGGAGATTAAAATGTAGCTAGGTCTGGTCTGGACTCCCCAAATTCATTTTTAACTAGTAGGTTACTAGCTAGTTTGCTATAACAGGGGAGATACGATAAGAATGCAGGGGGAAAAAGGCATCTAAACCAGCAGCACAAAGACAGCACTTTCAGTGGCCTCTGTGTGTTTCCCTCCTTATTCCCAAACTCTAAACACAGGAGACTCTTATGAATGGTCTGTATCTCTCCCTATATGGCCGTGGCTCCTTAAACTGCATGCTAATGGTCTCCAGATGTCCATCTCCAGAGAAGCCTCTTTTCTGGGTTTCAGCCCAAGCTTTTCAATCCACTGACAGTCGAACTTGGCAGTTGAGAAGGGATCCTGGATGTGCAAAACACCAGCATATAGAGTGCTGCTGCTCCTCACACCTCCACCCTCCCCGTCTACCGTGTTCCCGATCTCTGCTACCTCCTAATCAAATGGAAAACGAAAACAGCCCAGGCCCAGTCTTCCGTACATTAGTCGTCCTTACGCCGTCCCTATAGTCTCATGATGTAAGACGCATCTGTGACGTACAAACAGCGAGTGCCTTAGCTATGTCCTGTGCTCTCCACCTTCGTCTAAGCCGCCAGTATTTTCACTACAACTACCCTACCCATCCTTATTTCTATTTGAAATTCTCCAGGCAGGTAATTCAAACCAAAACACAGACCAAATCTCACTGCCTTTCTGTTTGAATGGGCCTCCCATCATCCCTAAGTCCCATGCCCGCCATCCCATCTCACCAAGGTTCTTCTAGTCTGCTTCTCAAATGTGCAACGTATTTTTGCGGTGGTTTGAATGAGAATGTTCCCCACGGGCTCATGTATTTGCACTCTGTCCCCAGTGGGTGGCACTGTTTGGAGAGGCTTAGGAGGCTTTATTGGAGGTGGGCTTTGGGCTTTGAGAGACAAAGACTCTCAGCATTTCCAGTTCTCCGCTTTGTGCTCACAGTCCAAGATGTGAGCTCTCAGCTTGCTGCTCCAGCGTCCTGCTTGTTGCCATTCCTGCCACTTGCTCGTTTTGATGGACTCTCAGCCCTTAGAACCATAAGCCCAAATAAACTCTTACGAATTTTCTAAGCCATGTTATTTTATCACAGCACCAGAAAAGGAACTAATGCAATTTCCCAACTTGGAGTTCACCGTTTTCTCTGTTGGTAGTACTCTTTCTTAGCTCTAGATCTTCAGCATCCAGAGTTCAGATTAAATGTCATATCCTCAGAAAGCCTCCTCAAGACGGCATCTCATGCTCATTTCTTTTGCAACCATTACCATCTTGTCATGATCTTTGCTTTCCTGATCTGCTCTGGTCTCTCTCTCCACCCCCCCCCCCAGCATAAATGTTCTTTGAAGAAAGGGGGCTTGTCTGCTTTTTGCCCAGATGATGAATAACTGGCATGCACTAGGCCCTCAATCAACATTTACTGAATGTACAAACTAACAAAGGCACGTAGTCTTGAAAGCTGACAGCATGTCCAATTCCCTCTGAGGCACCACCATAAAGCACAAGCGTGAGTACCATCAGAAATGACGCCACAGAGGCAAGTCGGAAGAAACAGGAAATGACCATCCAGATCAATGCCTTTGCTTTATTTTATCACCACTGCCTGATTCATTTGACAAGTGCTGGTGAAGAGCGTGTGCAGTAGTCTCTGCATTAGCCAATCAGAGCAAAAGGAGGGTTAAGGTCCAGAAGCGGATTGCTCGGAGGGTAGGCGAATGCGGGGTGTTGTGAGAACCCACGGGCAGAGGACAGACCTGAGTGGCTTTGATGAAATGGAGAAGGATAGAGAAATGATTTTCAGGATTCACGATCTCCAAGATGAGAGCAGTCAGTGACACTGGAAGTGGCCAAGACAGGGACGTGGAGGGTGCTGGAGGTGGGGCGTGTTTCACTGACAGCCCCGTGGATAACGGCTGGAGCGGGATAGGGTGGCCTCACGGTCAGGGCAGCTCTGGTGATTTGGGAGAAGGATAGTGCATGCTGCCAGGTGGTTTTTTTTTTTTTTTGGTTTTTCGAGACAGGGTTTCTCTGTAGCTTTGCGCCTTTCCTGGGACTCACTTTGTAGACCAGGCTGGCCTCGAACTCACAGAGATCCGCCTGGCTCTGCCTCCCGAGTGCTGGGATTAAAGGCGTGCGCCACCACCGCCCGGCTTTCAAACTTTTTTTTTTTTTTTTTTTTTTTTGGTGCTACCAGGTGGTTTTTAATCAAACATTTCTGTAAACATTCTCTGCTTGCATGAACACCTTTCCATTTTTCTTTGCCTTCTTTCAAACACTGACTCCCAAATACACACATTTTGATATCTAAATATTGGCTGATACTTACTTCTCCCCACTCAACATTTCTGGGTGGCAAAGGATAGTGGGCAGTGATGTCATAAGCGATTTCTTCCATAAACCATTTGAAACTTTTGCAGTTGTGATCTTCTCGAAATTTCTTCAGTTCGGATATATCCCCATAGGGCAGTGCCTTTGACTCAGGACGGCTGGCATAGAAGTAGTCTTTATATTCATCCCACCAAACTTCTACAACTCTAACATAATTCTACGAAAAGAAAAAACTACAGTCATTATAAGATGTAGAAAAAAATGTAACGGCATGAACAGCGTACCTTAGATGTACAGAATACAACCAAAATATAGTGAACTGGTTTAGAGAGGACTTGACATTTAATAAACAATGAAAATAAGTGACCTAATAACCCGAACATGTCATTTTCCAAGTATAGAAATGCCATGTATGTATGTATATTCATTTAAAAAGTGACATACATAACATCAGACATCTCTGAGCTGGAAGACAGTAAATTCTGAGATAATGCATTCTATTCTGAGAACAGATGAAGAAAGTGAAGCCCGGGCAGGGTTCTGAGAGGCTGGGTGGCCAGTGGTGTTCCTTCTCATCTCATTCCTTTCTATCCGAACCATGTTACTGACATGTACAGGGAAGATCTCATTTTGGAAACCGTCCTTACAAAGAATTGCTCCACAGCTAACTCGGCTAATCTTTTCATGGCTATAACAGAATCATCTTACTGTAACCTCAAACTGACTGTACATCTTCCACAGGTGGCTCACGAGGAGGAAAAGCAGCTGTGAACCAATACAATAAACGGACCCTGTCATAACTGTCAAAACTTGAACTCCAGGACTTGACAGAATTAGTGAATACTTGTGTGAACATACAGTTGGACTGGCGTTTACTCTCTCCACCCCGTGGATCTTCTACATCACGCACCAGCATCTTCTCCACAGAGGAGGGTGTGGGAGGCTGGGGAGCTGGTTCAGTAGATGGAGCATTTGCTACTCCAGCGTGAAGACCAGAGTTTGGCTCTCTAGAATCCAAGCAGACGCAGATGGCAGTGGCAGCCTCCCTTCAATTCTAGCACTTAGAAGGAAGGCAAGCTAGGGATCTGGAGTGACTGGCTAGTTAGACTAGCTGTACAGGCAAGGTTTAGGTTCAATTGAGAGACCTTGCCTCAGTGAATATGGTGGAAAGCCATGGAGGAAGACTCCTATTGTTAGTCTTGGGTCCATGTGTGCCCTCACACATGTGAACATGCACACACACACATACACACACACACACACACCACACACTAACGCAGGGATTCAGTTTCGTGTCTGCAGTAATCTTCAGGCCTGCTATAGAGCGCCAGCTGGGCCAGGCCCCAGAAGGCTGGATTCGGCTCGTTGACCACAGTTACTGACCTGTGTTTTACATCAAGAGTAGGCACATTCAGTGTTCAGATTAATTTTGTTTCTAGGCTAAAAGATAGTCATTAAAGTGGGAACAGGTCACCATACCAAATGAACAAAGAAAAATCTTTAGGAATAAATTTAACAGTGGAAGGGAAAGATCTGCATACTGAAAGTAATTTTAAAAAGAGACAAACGTGGAAACATCCCGTGTTCCTGGATGGGAAGAATTAATACTGGAGGTTCCTCAAAAATAGTAGTTTTGCCGGGCAGTGGTGGCTCACGCCTTTAATCCCAGCACTCGGGAGGCAGAGGCAGGTGAATCTTTGTGAGTTTGAGGCCAGCCTGGGCTACAGAGTGAGTTCTGGGCTACAGAGTGAGTTCCAGGAAAGGCTCCAAAGCTACACAGAGAAACCCTATCTCGAAAAACTAAAAAAATAAAATAAACAAAAATAAAAAAATAAAAAAAAGAATACTATTATTTTTTTGGGGGGAGTAGCATTACACTTCCCAAAGTGATCTATAAAATACCAATTATAATTTTCATTGATATTGAAAGATCAGAGTCTGGTGAGATGCCTCATGGGGAAAGGTGCTTGCCTCCGGCCTGATGACCCAAGTTTGGTCTCTGGAATTGACTTGGTGGAATCCACACAGTGGAAGGAAAGAACTGGGTCTCACAAGCTGACCTCCAACCTCCGCCTGTGCACCATAAGGCCCCTGTGCCCCTCCCTCCACTGAAATAAGTAAGTACAAATGGAAGAGAGAGAACTAGAAAAATCAACCCTAAAATTCATATGGTACCAGTCAAGAGCCCAAGCAGCCAACGTCATATAGAGCAAAAAAGAATAAATCCAGGGGCATCGCACTACCTGATTTCAAAATCTGCTGCAAAGAATGGTACAGGCAATAAAAACAGACACTGAGAGCACAGAGATAAATTCAGGCACACACAGCTGATTTTCACAGAAGGTGTCAGGAGCACAGAACAGGGAAAAGACGGAGAATGAAACTAGACCTTCTCCTCAAGGATATATGAAAACCAACCCCAAACAGATGACAAGCTTAAATGTGAGACCCCAAACAAAAGCTCTTAGAAGAAAACGGAAGAAAAGTTTTGTGACATATTTTGCACATTCGAGCAAAGCGAAACTACCACAAACGAGATCACGGCAGCCGAAAAGCCTCTGCGCCGCAGAGACGCGCCGCCTTACGGAGAGGACGCCTCCGCGGACCACACACCTGCTGAGGGGTCATCTACAATGTACGAAACACTCAAAGCACCTCAAGAGCTGGGGTACAGATAGCCTGACTTTTAGATCGGGCACATCGCCCGACACACACTCCTCAAAAGGAGACAAGTGGCCGACAGGCCCATGCCAAGACGCTCGCCATCACTAATGCCGCAGGGAACGCAGGTTAAAACCCTGACTCGGCGTCACCTCACCTCTGCTACAACAACTACTGTCGGAGGAATATAAGGCAAGGGTCTGTGAGGATGCAGATAAAATGGAATCCTTTCAAACTCTTGGTAGGAATATAAATTACTACAGTCACCTGGAAGGCAGTATGCCGATCCCTCCAGTCAAATGAAAAGAGAACCACTCTGTGACCCAGCAACTCCAGTACTGTGTCTGTGCATATTCCATAAGGATGTTGACTCGGTCTACCAAGGAGATGCCTGAATTTCTGTGCAGAACTTCCAAGCATTATTCATAAGGACTAATATTTAGAATCAACCCATGCGCCTACCAACTGGTATATGGATAAAGAAAATGTGATATGTAGCTGGGTGGTGGTGGCGCACGCCTTTAATCCCAGCACTCTGGAGGCTGAGGCAGGTGGATCTCTGTGAGTTCGAAGCCAGCCTGGGCTACAGAGTGAGATCCAGGAAAGGCGCAAAGCTACACAGAGAAACCTGTCTTGAAAAACCAAAAAAAAAAAAAAAAAAAAAAAAAGAAAAAAGAAAAGAAAATGTGATATGCACAATATAACGCCCAGTCTTAAAAAAAAGAAAAGAAAAGAAATTCTGTCATTTGTAACAACACACAGGACATTATAGAAAGTGAAATAAACTAGGCACAGAAAGAGACATGTGTGTGCTCACTCACAGGTAGGATATAAAGGGAACCAATGTATAGAAATAGTGAAATGGTGGTTACCAGAGGCTGAGAAATAAGAAGGCTGGGGAGGTATTTGGGCAAAAGACACAAAATTTCTACCCTAAGAGACGCAAGTTGTGGCGATCTCTGTACAACAGTTACTACAATTAGTGAGGAAGCATTGGTTAGCATGTTATGTAGTATATAAACTAAATGGACTTTATTTATTTAATGAATATCAAATATCGTTATACATCATAAATACACCGACTCTTTATTTGTCAAAACACAAATGAAAAGAATAGGGCGAAATGAATAATGTTAAAAAACAGTAAGATACCTCACGAGTAGGTCTAGCCTTGGCTTATGGTGAAGAGAGTGAAGTGGTCCGTGAATTTTAGTTCTCCCCCACTCTCCTTCTAACAACGACAGCAGCAGCACCTCACCTTAAGAGTCGGAGAAGACCCAACATAAAGGGGTGGAGGATTTCCTTGCCAGCCCTCAAGACGGTAGATGTGTCCAACCCGGGAACAAGGGACAAATAATAATTTACCGCCGCACTGCCAGATCTATCAAGAAAAGAATGTATATTGTGAAAGTGATCGGAAATGGAAAAATAAATAACGGAAAGTTTGTTCCATAAATGTAAGTTTTAAATTAGACATAATGGATTCTAAGCTATCCAAATTCTAAAACAATCAATGACTTGAGAAACACACGCAACAACAAGGAAGGCAGTGGTAATGTATACAACAAGTTACTATTAATGAGTTCTCTCCTGTGTACATGGAGATCCAGGAGCCTTTTCTCAATGTAACCTTCCAAAGTACCGTAAATCCTTCATCCCTGGCATGACCTGTCGTTTCTGGTGCTCATCTATTTCCTACTTGGGTGATTACCGTAATAACCTCTTAACTGGCTCCACCACCTTGAACTGCTCTCTACTTAATTCTGTCTTTATTTATAGCAAGAGATTACCGCAGCTTCGGGTCACGCTATCCTGTTGCTCAGTGTCTTCGGTGGTTGCCACCTGCTTATCGAACAAGGGGGTGGGGATTTGTTTGTTTGTTTTTGTTTTTTGAGACTGGGTTTCTCTGTGTAGCCCTGGTGGTCCTGGGCTAGCTCTGTAGACCAGGCTGGCCTTGAACTCACAGAGATCCGCCTGCCTCTGCCTCCCGTGTACTGGGATTGTACTTGCCCGCTTTATCTTACGTGTCTTTCTTAATCACACTTTTTGATTCCACCCAATTGCTTTTGCTCTTGCTAATGTGCTCTTCACCTCCCCTTACTCTGCTCACACAGGAGGCCTGCTCGCCGCCATTTATCTCTGCTTATTGAAACCATGCATCTTATTTCTACCTCAAATTCTACCTCTATCATCATGGCATTTTCTTCACCCTACCCCATGAATGCCTTTTTATAGACTTACTACATTATACACGAACAAATATTTCTAATCTGTAAGGTTTTGGACAGCAAGGATTAGTTGTCCCTAGCCTAACCCTCCCAATACGAAACACAGAATATCTAAGGTAAGAAGTATTGGATATCTGGTAAACTGCAATCTCTTCCCCTCTCCCGATCTCTGAAAACGGGGCAGAACTGGGGCTGAGTTGGACCATGCAGGGCACCTCCAGGCCAGCAGGAGGATGTCAGTCATCATGTGACTGCTGTTTCCATCAGCCAGTCCTACAGCAGTCAAGGATGCCTATGTCAGCAGACAGCCAGCATGCAGTCCTCCACAGGGCTGCTATAACCCAAGGCTCCACTGAACAGAAAGCCTGGGAGCGGGAGAAAGGCAATTTCTAGTTCTGAAGCTTGTTGGCCATAATTCTGGGCTGAGCTCTGTAAACAAGTAATCATTTTACTTTATTATCCTAAGAGTTATGCTTTATTGAGGCATTCCTAATAATTTAGAGAAATTTATTATATACATATTTTTTCTTGAAAAAAAAACCTAGTTTTATTTGAAAGTCGTAACAATTGGGTAACTAGTTAGTAAACCTGAGGCAGGGCATGATGGTGCATGCCTTTAGTCCTAGTACTTAGGATGCAAAGGCAGATGGATCTTTGTGAGTTCAAGGACAGCCAGGACTACATAGACACAGACACCTCCCACCCCCACAACAAACAAACAACCCACCCAAAAAACTAGTCAGAAAACAGCATTTGTTTGAGTGAAACGTTACCTTGTAGGAGATTTCAAAGTTTTCACCACCCCAAATCTGGAGACCAGGGTCATAGAGACCTAGTTCGAAGAAGAACTCTCTTTCAATGGCAAATAATCCACCAGCCATGGCTGGAGACCTAAGAAAAGACACCGCATGCAATAACTGTGGAAACAGAGCCCCACTATCCCTTCACCAACAGACAGACAGACAGCCTTTGGGAACACAGCGTAAGAATGCACAGGAGAGACAAGACTGATGGCCAAACATTAAGAAACTATAAATCCTTCATCAAAGAATGTGCTCGCTGCACGCATTTACCAAAACTCGTGGAGTAATTCTCTAGACTACCATGTTGTTTCGCCACTAGAGGGTGCCTTGGTTCTTTTGATGGTTTACACATTTCTTTGTAATTAAGATAAACATTTCTCTTTCTCCCCTGAAACACAGAGCCAAGCGAACACTGTCGACTGGCTGCTCCTTCAACGATTCATGAGTCATTCTGGGATGAGCGACACTATACACCACGGAAGTAGTCTGCCATCTTTTAGTTTTATAGCTCAAGGCCTTGCCAAATAATGGTGTAAATCACCCAAGAACAACACGGTTCCTTCAAGATCGCAAGTGTAGCAGGGGCATGGCATAAGAGGAGTCAACTTCCTCTGTAGCAAGAGGTGAGACTGCAAAAGAGCACCCCATGGTCTTCTTGCGCAGACCTTAAGTTCAGTACATTTTCGGAGAAAGAGAAAAAAACATTCTCTAACTTTCCAAGTCACTTCTGCTGCTGAAGAAATGATAGCAGAATAATTTCGCTGCACTCTGGGCATTCCTTCTTTCTTACCATTAAACAATAATTAATGTATTACGACTCTTAAGCTTTAGGGAACTCGATACTGTTAGAATTCCTTATTCCTCATTCACACTAATGTTCGTCTATCACCGAGTCCCCCTGATTTCACCTTGAAAAGGTGTGTGTGTAACTTGTGTACTACTCACTACAGTATAAATTGCACAAGAACATATTTAATTATTTACATATATATATTTTTGGGACAGGGTCTCACTATATTGTTTTTGCTTGGCCAAAAACTTGCTATGTAGACCAGGCTAACCTTGGGCTAATTGAGACCCACCTGCCTCTGCCTCCCTGTGTGCTGGGATTAACAGCAGATGTCACCATGTCCAGCAAGAGAACATTTTTTTTTTAAGATTTTTTTATTTATTATGTATACAATGTTCTGTCTGCATGTATCCCTGCAGGCCGAAAGAGGGAGCCAGATCTCATTACATATGGTTGTGAGCCACCATGTGGGTGCTGGGAATTGAACTCAGGACCTCTGGAAGAACAGCCATTGTTCTTAACCTCTGAGCCATCTCTCCAGCCCGGGAACGTAGTTTTAAAAGGTCATTAACTTCTAAAATAGTGGCTGGTGCACAGTAAACAGTCAACAAACATATGGTGAGCCGACAATGAGTCAGGCTGATACTTTTCGTACTGACAGAAAAATCCCATCAAGAGTTGTTCTCTTATGCCTTTCTTAAAATATGCTGACTAAAAATCACTAAGTTAGCACATTTCTGGTTATGCTTTCATGTCATATTTACTTAGCTGCCACTTAACACGATTTCAATATGACTGGACCTTTTTGCTCTCCAAATACATTCCCATTCATCTCAATACAGATTTGAAGATGCTTTAACTTTCTCACTTAGCTAGCTAACTGACGGGCGTGGTGATATAAACTTCCCCAGTTGACTTTAAAAACATGCCTTTTACGGAACTGCTGGGCAAACTAAGGCAGCGAACTTTCTTTTTCTCCTAGGTGATCCGTGGGCTTAAGCAGCTCAGCAACAGATTCCTGGATTATTCTGAACCTTAAGTGTTTGGAAGAAAATTTGGAAGCTGTCCTGTCAAACCTTGAAGTCCTGTAATTTCCTCATGTTGGCCATTCAGCGTCCTGAGCACAACATGCCTGAATCCACGACACGAAAGCACTTCCCCAAATGAGTTCCGACATGAGCAGTGTGACAGGAAGGAAGATAATGAAGGCGGAACCACGGGACAAAATAAATAAATAAATAAATAGGAAACACGTGATGGACATGGTCACACTAGCCTTTCATTTGGGGGTCACTTTTTGAAAGACTGCACAATGTTGCAATTAACAGATTAACAGGGGAGAGTAAAATCAATCGTTCTATTTGAAGAATCACAAGAAGGGACAAAAGCCGATTTGGGGATGGAGCTTTCTTTTAATCAAGCATTCTCTTGAGAACCAAGCGGCAAAGGATTCTATACAACATTTTCTAAAGTCGTGTGCTTGTTGTACTCATCCCATTTAACTGAAACGAAATTAGTATCAGAGCTTTAGTATATAAAAGGGAGAACCCCCAAATCTCTTGCTAGTGTCGTTCACTGTCAACACCGTACCCAGGACTTCAAAAGATGCAAACTGCAAGTCTTGAGTTGTCAGCAGTTTGTGTATTAATTTATAGAATACACTTTGCCGTCTGGTCTCCTAGGACAGCAGGGAAAGGCTGTTTCCTTCTTTTCTGCTTATGCTTCAAATTAACAATGCCTTTCGCGTTATTTTTCCCCAATGAAAGAGTATAATTCACATTAGTGGGGCTTGCATTTAGGGTAAAAGCTGTTACAGGAGCCAATGTGAATTCAAAGCCTTGAAGCTGCAAGGAACAAAGCTCTGTCAGGGTCTGAGACCACAGCTCCAGTTCTTACAGCGAGTTCTCAGCGTGGCAAGAGGTTAATAGGTTAGCAGCAACCGGAGAAAAGGGGGGGGGGGGTAGGTAAGTGATTTAGTGATTACCGATACGGCTCAGTTTTTGTCTTTCTCAGTCTCTTCTCGCGAGAGGTCAGAGGCACCCGTTTCCAGAGCATACTCCAATCCCATGCTCCTCGGGCATACCCATCTTCATCACCACCCCCTTGGGGTACAATTTCATATGTGTTGCCATTTATGACATCTATAATCGGCACAGTGCAAATGGTTCTGTGTTGTATTGATGATGCAGCAAGACCAAATGGAAACGTATGTATGGACCCACACATTTACACGAGTTCATAGGGAAGGAAAAAAAAAAAGGACTTAGGTAAACATTCAACATAAAAAAATAAAGTAATAATCTTTACCGATAGGGTTCAGTTTTATGTTTTCTTTTGGCCTTTTCCTTGTGGCTTAGTGGAATACGTTTCCATAGCATACTCCAGTCCCAGGCCCCTCTGGCAAAACCATCTTCATCCCCACCTTGCTGCGGTTCAATGGAATAATCATTCCCGTCTATGTAATCTATTAGAGGCACAGTACATGTAGCTCTGAAACATTTACAGAAAATGAAAACGCATTTAAGAACCCCAAACTGACTAGGTCAGCATGCCTAACTACATCGGCTTCCTTTGTACTTGGTTTCGTTCTGCATTAGGAAATTTATCTAATGGGGGCATAGAGTAAATAAAGTAAGGTCTTGTGAAAGCCCAGGCCTGCGTCAGCCTGAGGGCGGAACGGAAGGGAAGTTTATCTTGGCTGTCCAAAGAAACACCTGGGGCAGAGAGCCATGCCACTGAGCTTACAGTTTCCTCCCTTCTACTTGGCATCACTGGCAGCTGTCTCATAGCAATTCTGTAGTATTTACAAGATTTTTCTGCCTGCTGTTTTCTCTCTGTGTCCCCCATTAAAAGCGTCTGTCTCCAAGTTTTTGTGTGCTCACACCCACTGCCAGCACATCTGTAACAGCTTCCTTCCACTTTTTGTGGATTCCTCAGAAGCAGTTATTATGAACAGGTCTTTCTGTGCTTTTATTTAATTTTATTCCCTTCTTTTATTACAAAGCAAAACAACTCCCTTACACTAAAATAAAACCTCAGGTTCTACATTTATTTCACTTAAAAAAATAAAAAAGGCAAGAACGATGCTATATGTACCTGTTGAGGGATTTAAGGAATGAACTAAGAATTTAGAGACTAAAAGAAAAAAAAAATTCCTTGCATTTGGGCTTTGTAAAATGCTAGCATTGAATAACCAATTGGATACGGTGTTACTGTTTCAATGATTTCGGAACCCTGCTCATCATATCAGAAAGGGTTGAGAATGGGTTTCCCCAAATGGAGATCACAGAGAAATGAAAATCTATGGGACTCAGAGTCTTGATACGAGGGCAGTGGATTCTAGAAAAGAGCTTACTTCCCTCCTGAACATGAACTCACAGGAGGCCCACTGTGTGATGCACAGAGATCCCCCTGGGACCTTTGGGAAACCACATCCTTGGTGCTGGGAAGACTTCCACATTGCCCTGGAGACAATGGCTGGCTACCTGGCTAGTTACCTTTCCTCTCGCCACATTCTTTTCTTTCTTTCTTTCTTTCTTTCTTTCTTTCTTTCTTTCTTTCTTTCTTTCCTTTCTTTTGTCTGTTTGTTTGTTTTGGGTTTTTTTTTTTTTTTTTGGTTTTTGAGACAGGGTTTCTCTGTGTAGCTTTGCGCCTTTCCTGGATCTCACTCTGTAGTCCAGGCTGGCCTCGAACTCACAGAGATCCGCCTGCCTCTGCCTCCCAAGTGCTGGGATTAAAGGCATGCGCCATCACCGCCCGGCTGTGACACATTCTTTTCACAATTTAAAATAAATGTTGAAATATAAAGAGGCACTGAGATCTGTCTGACAGTTCATTAAATCAGATTTGTGGCAAATTCATTTTTCTATGGCTTAGTATTGTTTTTGAAAAGTGTAGCCAATCATCTCTACCTGGCAGGACTGCTGTGGAGATTAAGCCAGACAGCATGTACAGTGTTTAGGATGGGCCTTCACCTTAAATCTGTTGAGAAAGTCTCCCAAGTTCTTCCATGCCATTTACCACAAAAAAATATGTTGCATTCGCCTAGATTCTGAAATAGAATGCTGGACAGAAAGCAACAAAAGCTTTTGGAACTAGGGACTGATGCTGTCTTTTGGTGTTTCTGTACATTAATGGTGATGACCGCTTCCCACGGCACAGTTATCTATTTGTTACTGTTGGAGTTTTCGTAGGAACCCAAAGACTTGGCCAGAGTAACAGTTGACCCTTCTCATCTAACGTAATCATTTGAAAGGTCGTAAGAAACCCACAGGTTTAATTTCAAGGCATGCTTCTTCAAATCTTCAGAGCATTTATCCAGTTTAGAGGGAGCAATTAATATTACTCTGCGGAAGAGTCTCAACAAAGTACCAAGACAGCTCTGCAGCGGGACACCTAGGTTTTTCCAAATACAGGCTGGCTACATTTGAACAGCCCAAGACATCCATCTAGCTCCACCCAGGACACAAACAGCTCAAGGAAAACACATCTCACACAGCATCTGGGAAACTAGAGGGAATGGGGATCCCAGGGGAGAAGAGCATTTGTCCTTCTAGGACAAGGTTTACTTTGAAACTAGGAAAGAAAAAAAGCAAGGTGATGTTACCTGTCCTTAGATATGGGAGCTACAAGTGGAGCATACCAGTTAACTGCCACCTCACAGTGGGCATCAAGGTATATCAAAACCTTAAAAAAAAGAGGCAGGGTGAAAGAATACTCCTCACATATGGTACATCACATATCACACACAATTTAAAATTAGACGCTAATATAAATTAGCATTTTAGTCAATTTTGCCATATAAATTATCCGTTCAAATCAACATTCTCATTTAAATTAAAAAACGAAATAAAACAAAGCTGAAGGATAATTTAAAACGTATCTGATTTTTCAGTTACCAAAAAGGCAGCGTTGACACTGTAAACAGCACAGACTTCTTACCTGTCCGAGTTTAGCCTTCTGTGCGCCAATGCTTCGAGCTTGAATTAAACCTTCTCTTCTCTCATTTCGAAACACCTTCACGAGGCCATTCCACAGTTTTATGTAGTCATCCAGTTTTTCTTTTAAATGTTCTGTAAATTAAAAAAAAATAACAACCAACATTATAGACTTTTACATAGAAACTTTTTCTCTCTCTCAAGAAACAAAGATTGAGCCGGGCGGTAGTGGTGCACGCCTTTAATCCCAGCACTCGGGAGGCAGAGCCAGGCAGATCTCTGAGTTCGAGGCCAGCCTGGTCTACAGAGCTAGCCCAGGACAGGCTCCAAAGCTACAGCGAAACCCTGTCTCAAAAACCAAACCAAACAAACAAACAAAAACAAACAAACAAAAAAACAAAGATTAGATATAGATGTGCTGTGCAATCACATGGATCAGATCAACTGTTAAATCAATTAAGATGGAAGGCAAGGGCTGAGGTATAGTTAGGCGGTAGACCATGTGTAAAGCATTTATGAGGCCCCAGGTTCAGTCATCTGCCATCACACACAAGAAAGATGGAAGGCAAAAAGTGTTACAAGTTAAGTTGTAAGATTAATATATCTGCAGAGGATTGGGTAGCATAAAAATTACCAAGCATCCCTGTGAAGAATTAAATGAATATTCAAACTTACAAATGCCAGATTGAAAAATTGAAAAGGAAAACGTACAGAATATTTTGCAGTCGAAAGAGGCTGTGGTTCAGGATCTCTGAAGACACATAATCTACTGATAATGTCATGCGATTTCTGGAAGTCTGCATGGGGCACAGGCTGCTTAACGTTTTGTTCTGGGCCATTGTTCTCCCACCATAACAGGTACTGAAAACTGCAGTCTTGCTGTGACGAAGGCTAGTCACCAAGTTGGCCTCTAACAATCAAAAGTCCCATTTTTGTCTGTAGCTTAGCATTACAAGTATGTGTATAATTAAATTATAATTATTATAATTATATATACATATACATATATGTTTGTGATTTAGTAGAGTAAATTCTATGTTATGAGAAGCAGGCACAATTGGCAAAGCCTGCACCTTGGCTTCCCATTGGAAAATAACAGCTTTTGTTTATCGCTGTGAGCCCAGGAAATTGGCTCAGCAGTTAGAACAAGCTCGAGATCCTGCTGAGATACTTCCCAAGGACATAGAAATCATCCTAAAATAGTTAAAAATCTGGCTCATCAGTACAACCACCACCAAAAAAAAAAAAAAAAAAAAAAAAAAAGTTGCTGTATCTAGATATGAGCTGGTGGTAAAATGGGTATGTTAGACCATATATTTAATAGTTTGCTTGTTTTAGGAGGCTTTTTAAATGTTTCTGTTTGTTTCAAGATGGAGTACAGTATATCCAAGGCTGGGCTCAAATTCACTGTGGAGCTGAGGCTGGACCTGAACTCTTAAAACATTGTTTTAAAATTGCATGCATTTAAAAATGGATGCGTGTCTGTGCACCACTTGTGTGTCTGGTTCATGGAGGAGGACAGAGGAGCATCTTATCCCTTAGGGCTGGAATTACAAATGGCTGTGAGCCAGGTGGCTGCTGGGAATCAAACTGTGATTCTCAAGAGCAGCCAGTGCTCTTAGCCTCTCTCCAGCTCCTAGACTTGAACATCTTGATCCCCCTGCCTCCACCTCCTAAGCACTACTATTACAGATGTGCGTAACTGCGCCAGGGTGTTTATTACCAACAAGACACCCACCCATATGGGCTTTCAGAATTAAGACATCACACACACATATTTTGGCACCAACTTTTTTTTTTTTTTCGAGACAGGGTTTTTCTGAATAGCACTGGCTGCCCTAGAACTCTGAGACCGATTGGTCTCTGTATCCCAAGTGCTGAGATTTAAGGCATGCGCCACCACCACCCAGCGATTTTCCCTTTCAAAATTAGTTGTTTCTTTGTAAAAGAAGCCTTGCCTTTTTAAAAAGCTTGGTACAGTCCTATGTTACTATTCTCTAAAGGCTTTCTTAATTCCATTAGGGCTGTCTTTGGGACATGTTACTTAAAAACATACCTTAAATACATCTTAATGTACAGAAGTGAGTGATGTGTTTTTTCACATTTAGACTCAGTCAAGACAAATGGGTTCTTTGTGACCTCACTGTATTTAGGCCTCAAAATACCCATGGCCACTGTCTAGGTGAATATTGCCTTCCTATAAACCACATATGTCAGGCTGGGTTTGTGACTGTCCATGGCCCGGGCTCATGTAGAAAGGCCGTGGGTCACTTGTGCACAGTAGCCTTACAGACAGTCCACTTGAGTTCTGCTGTCTGCTCCTTTCTCTGTCTCTGTGAAGGCAGTACACAGCTGAGTCCACTGTGGAGGTGCAAGCAGGGACAGGGATGCTCTGAACGAGATCCAGTGGAACCGAGAAAACCCTGGGCTGCTGCACACTGTAATGTAGGACCAAGAAAACCCTGGACTACTGCACACTGTAATGTAGGACCAAGAAAACCCTGGACTGCGCATGCTGTAATGTAGGACCGAGAAAACCCTGGACTGCTGCACACTGTAATGTGGGACCGAGAAAACCCTGGACTGCTGCACACTGTAATGTAGGACAGAGAAAACCCTGGACTGCTGCACACTGTAATGTAGGACCGAGAAAACCCTGGGCTGCTGCACACTGTAATGTGGGACCGAGAAAACCCTGGACTGCTGCACACCGTAATGTGGGACCGAGAAAACCCTGGACTGCTGCACTGTAATGTAGGACCAAGAAAACCCTGGACTGCTGCACTGTAATGTGGGACCGAGAAAACCCTGGACTGCTGCACACCGTAATGTGGGACCGAGAAAACCCTGGACTGCTGCACTGTAATGTAGGACCGAGAAAACCCTGGACTGCTGCACTGTAATGTGGGACCGAGAAAACCCTGGACTGCTGCACACTGTAATGTAGGACAGAGAAAACCCTGGGCTGCTGCACACTGTAATGTAGGACCGAGAAAACCCTGGGCTGCTGCACACTGTAATGTGGGACCGAGAAAACCCTGGACTGCTGCACACTGTAATGTGGGACCGAGAAAACCCTGGACTGCTGCACACTGTAATGTGGGACCGAGAAAACCCTGGGCTGCTGCACTGTAATGTAGGACCGAGAAAACCCTGGGTTGCTGCACACTGTAATGTGGGACCGAGAAAACCCTGGGCTGCTGCACTGTAATGTAGGACCGAGAAAACCCTGGACTGCTGCACACTGTAATGTAGGACCAAGAAAACCCTGGACTGCTGCACACTGTAATGTGGGACCGAGAAAACCCTGGACTGCTGCACACTGTAATGTAGGACCAAGAAAACCCTGGGCTGCTGCACACTGTAATGTGGGACCAAGAAAACCCTGGACTGCTGCACTGTAATGTAGGACCAAGAAAACCCTGGACTGCTGCACACTGTAATGTAGGACAGAGAAAACCCTGGGCTGCTGCACACTGTAATGTGGGACCGAGAAAACCCTGGGTTGCTGCACACTGTAATGTAGGACCAAGAAAACCCTGGACTGCTGCACACTGTAATGTGGGACCAAGAAAACCCTGGGCTGCTGCACACTGTAATGTGGGACCGAGAAAACCCTGGGTTGCTGCACACTGTAATGTGGGACCAAGAAAACCCTGGACTGCGCATGCTGTAATGTGGGACCGAGAAAACCCTGGACTGCTGCACACTGTAATGTAGGACCGAGAAAACCCTGGGCTGCTGCACACTGTAATGTAGGACAGAGAAAACCCTGGACTGCTGCACTGTAATGTGGGACCGAGAAAACCCTGGGCTGCTGCACACTGTAATGTGGGACCGAGAAAACCCTGGACTGCTGCACACTGTAATGTGGGACCGAGAAAACCCTGGACTGCTGCACTGTAATGTGGGACCGAGAAAACCCTGGACTGCTGCACACTGTAATGTGGGACCGAGAAAACCCTGGACTGCTGCACACTGTAATGTAGGACCGAGAAAACCCTGGGCTGCTGCACACTGTAATGTAGGACCAAGAAAACCCTGGACTGCTGCACACTGTAATGTGGGACCAAGAAAACCCTGGACTGCTGCACACTGTGATGTAGGACAGAGAAAACCCTGGACTGCGCATGCTGTAATGTGGGACCGAGAAAACCCTGGACTGCGCATGCTGTAATGTGGGACCGAGAAAACCCTGGACTGCTGCACACTGTAATGTGGGACCGAGAAAACCCTGGGCTGCTGCACACTGTAATGTAGGACAGAGAAAACCCTGGACTGCTGCACACTGTAATGTGGGACCGAGAAAACCCTGGACTGCTGCACACTGTAATGTAGGACCAAGAAAACCCTGGACTGCTGCACACTGTAATGTGGGACCAAGAAAACCCTGGACTGCTGCACACTGTGATGTAGGACAGAGAAAACCCTGGACTGCGCATGCTGTAATGTGGGACCGAGAAAACCCTGGACTGCGCATGCTGTAATGTGGGACCGAGAAAACCCTGGACTGCTGCACACTGTAATGTAGGACCAAGAAAACCCTGGGCTGCTGCACACTGTAATGTGGGACCGAGAAAACCCTGGACTGCGCATGCTGTAATGTGGGACAGAGAAAACCCTGGACTACTGCACACTGTAATGTGGGACCGAGAAAACCCTGGGCTGCTGCACACTGTAATGTGGGACCGAGAAAACCCTGGGCTGCTGCACACTGTAATGTGGGACCGAGAAAACCCTGGGTTGCTGCACACTGTAATGTAGGACAGAGAAAACCCTGGGCTGCTGCACACTGTAATGTAGGACAGAGAAAACCCTGGACTGCTGCACACTGTAATGTGGGACCGAGAAAACCCTGGGCTGCTGCACACTGTAATGTGGGACAGAGAAAACCCTGGGCTGCTGCACACTGTAATGTAGGACCAAGAAAACCCTGGACTGCTGCACACTGTAATGTGGGACCGAGAAAACCCTGGGCTGCTGCACACTGTAATGTAGGACAGAGAAAACCCTGGGCTGCTGCACTGTAATGTGGGACCAAGAAAACCCTGGACTGCTGCACACTGTAATGTGGGACAGAGAAAACCCTGGGCTGCTGCACACTGTAATGTGGAACCGAGAAAACCCTGGGCTGCTGCACACTGTAATGTGGGACCGAGAAAACCCTGGGCTGCTGCACACTGTAATGTAGGACCAAGAAAACCCTGGGCTGCTGCACACTGTAATGTAGGACCGAGAAAACCCTGGACTGCGCATGCTGTAATGTGGGACCGAGAAAACCCTGGACTGCTGCACACTGTAATGTGGGACCAAGAAAACCCTGGACTGCTGCACACTGTAATGTGGGACCGAGAAAACCCTGGGCTGCTGCACTGTAATGTGGGACCAAGAAAACCCTGGACTGCACACTGTAATGTAGGACCAAGAAAACCCTGGACTGCTGCACACTGTAATGTGGGACCAAGAAAACCCTGGGCTGCTGCACACTGTAATGTAGGACCGAGAAAACCCTGGACTGCTGCACACTGTAATGTAGGACCGAGAAAACCCTGGACTGCTGCACACTGTAATGTAGGACAGAGAAAACCCTGGACTGCTGCACACTGTAATGTGGGACCGAGAAAACCCTGGGCTGCTGCACACTGTAATGTGGGACAGAGAAAACCCTGGGCTGCTGCACTGTAATGTAGGACCGAGAAAACCCTGGGCTGCTGCACACTGTAATGTGGGACCGAGAAAACCCTGGACTGCTGCACACCGTAATGTGGGACAGAGAAAACCCTGGGCTGCTGCACTGTAATGTGGGACCGAGAAAACCCTGGACTACTGCACACTGTAATGTGGGACCAAGAAAACCCTGGACTGCTGCACACTGTAATGTGGGACCGAGAAAACCCTGGACTGCTGCACACTGTAATGTAGGACCGAGAAAACCCTGGGCTGCTGCACACTGTAATGTAGGACCAAGAAAACCCTGGACTGCTGCACACTGTAATGTGGGACAGAGAAAACCCTGGACTGCTGCACACTGTAATGTAGGACCGAGAAAACCCTGGGCTGCTGCACACTGTAATGTAGGACAGAGAAAACCCTGGACTGCGCATGCTGTAATGTGGGACCGAGAAAACCCTGGACTGCGCATGCTGTAATGTGGGACAGAGAAAACCCTGGGCTGCTGCAGACCTCTAAGCGTCTGGTCTGAGGCTGTTCTATCTGAAGCCACACCCCAGCTTCATCCCAAGACACACAAACGTGGTGAGGAGCTGGCTCTATTTAAAGGCCCCAAATCTTGCTAAGAGAGAACATTTTCGTTTCCGGGAGCCTAATGGTTATGGAAAATAGTTAGATCGTTTTAGGGGTTTTATATTATTTTGTCTCTAAAATAAAACTTATGACTTGAAAGTTTACTTTTTACTGGGGCAAGGTATAAACCAAGTCCCCCCACCCCACACCCCAACCCCCGGAGCTGAGGACCGAATCCAAGGCCTTGTACTTGCTAGGCAAGCACTCTACCACTGAGCTAAACCCCCAACCCCTAAACCAAGTTTTTATTTGGGCTTGATTAACCAAATATTACAATTTTCCTGAAGTTAGTAGCAAAAGATTTCAATGTTGTCTTGAGATTGGGAACACTAATTACAGGCCTTCTGGACTCTGGTTCCAGGGGAGTCTAGAAGTTTCCACCCACTGTGAGGTAAGTAGATCCTGCCTGGGTGTGAGTCAGAATTGTAGAGAGCGATAACACGAGACACACTGACAGCAAGAGAGAAGTCAGATGCCCAAACACCTCAAGCCTCAGGGTCCCCTCTTCTTTTCGGGGCCCAAAAGTTATTATAGGGTGGTAAGGTGTCTATTCTTTTTATAATGTTGATTATTAATAATCAATTTCCTACAAGCAGGACCAAGGCAGGAGAGTTTAGAAAGTAGTTTTGTAGATTTAGATTTTTTTTTTTATACATTTAAAAATGACTGCATGGCTGCTTGCTTGCCTGCATGTAAGTGCACCACGTGTGTGCTGTGAACCTGGAGGCCAGAGGAGGGCGTGGGGTCAACTGGAACTGGAGTCAGAGGTGGTGGTGAGCCATCTCCAGTCCCCTAAAAATCTATTTTCAAATGCTTGTCTTGCAGAAAAAAAAATAATTTTGATAAAAGCATTTTTTGTCAGAGAAAACTGCAACCAAGATAAGACATCTAAGTTAAACACATTTAATTCAGCTAAAAAATTTAAAGCGATACATCTGGAGTAATTAAAAATGATTAGCTGAAAAGGTTATCTGCTGCAAAAACGTGAGAGAAAGAAATAAATCATCATTTTCTTTTTTTTCTAGTGCTAGCATATGTGAGCACATCAAGATTCCAGGCATGTCCTTGAAGAAGCAGCACAGGTTTACTCAGACTTGGAGAGTTCTGAATGGCCCTCTGGAGGAAGCTCGATTCAGGACGCTGTATAAAGCTATCCTGGAAGGTATTTTCACGGTACTGATGTCCTATCTTCAACCCTAACATCGGATTTGGTGGTCACGTCTTATGCAGAAAACCTTGAAACTTGTCTGTCAGTGTGCAAACACCCTGTTCTTACTGAGTAGGTGGGCACTGCGGTCAGCCCAAAAACTCCTGTTGTTCTGTGACAAGTGAAAATAAACGAATATGCAGAGTTATACTGAAGAAGCAACATTCCGTTTTCATCTGCACGTTGACGGAGGATCTGGGCTACATTACTTCCACATTTCTGTGATTAAGAATATGTATTTAACTTGCAATAACGTATTGAAAGAAATTATTCCCAATTAACTGTAAAAATTCACTTCTCTGGAATATCGCCACTGGACCACTCTCTTGCCAAGCTGAATCAAGATGACTCCTAAATACTGTCACTGTCTCCTTCAAAAGAATGAAGAGCAAGCCAGGAGCAGCCTGTGGTGACAGTGCTTGAGTGGTGGAGACAGGAAGGTAGGAACAAGAATTTCAGGCTAGACTTAGCTACACAGAGTTCAAGGCTAGCTTGGGGTACAGGAGCCCCCACATTGTTCGTGCTCTCTCTCTTCTCTCAAAAGCAAAAACAAAAACAAAAACCTTCATGGGACTGGCCCTGCAGACCCAAAGCTGCAGGATCTCCATGACACAGGCAACAGCAGGATACGCAAGAGGAGTCCCAGTGAGGGCCCAGTGTCTACAGTGTAGCAGAAAGAAGAAGCCTAGAAGCAGACCAAGGACTCTCTGCAGTGACCACTTGCAAGTAAAAATACATGGACAAAAGGGTTTATTGTGTGACTCACTGTGTCACACTGCAGCTTCCATGACGAGATAGATTTTTCTTTTTTTTCTCTGAAATTTTATTTTATTTGGGGGGAGTTGCAAGGGCAGAGGGTGGATACAAAGGGACAGGGAAGTGAATGGGATGGAGATGCATGATGTGAAAGACACAAAGAATAAATAAAAAGAAAGTTAAAAAGAACAAAAAGCCCTTCATAACTTGTTTTTACTTAATAGTTTAAATCCAATACAGAATTAAATGAGCTGTAGAAGATGTGTTCTGTATTTAAAAAGTAGCCCAGTATGGCCATTATGATGGTTAATGTGGTAACTTGGCAGGATCCAGCTCTGAATGCAGGTGGCACCATCCCACGGGACTTGGGTCCTTGACTGAGGAAAAAGAAAATGGGCTGAGCACCAACATGTACCGCCCTCCTCTTCCTCACCATGGACTCAATGTGCCCTCAGACTGTGCGCCAAAATAACCCGCTCTTCTTAAGTGGCTTTTGTCGGGACCTGCGTCACAGCGACAAGAAAGGTAACTAACACACACACATTCTCAGGCCACATTCAGTACTCTAGCGTCATCGTTCAAGTGCAAACTGAAGTCTGTGAGACAGGTGTGTGGACTTCAGTCTGAAAACTATGGCTGGAGCTTCGGGTGGCAATGCAAAAGATACATGATTCTGTTTTTCAATCTTTCAGTAAGTTACTCTAGAACTCAATTTTTTGTGTGTGTGTGTGAAATCCAAGCCCCACAGAATTGGTACAGCATCTGACAATGCCTGAAGACAGTCTTGAACTCATGGACTTGGACCTAGCAGTTAATGACTACCTCTGTGACTTCTGGCAAGCCATGTGGTTTCTTTGAGCCTCTTGTATAAAATAGAAATAATTATAATATTGTAAAGGTTACTGTTAGGATTAAACAAAATGACTGATCTACGGTGCTTGGCACAGTGACAACATAGTAACATATCAGTAGACACCTTTCATTTTTAAAACTTAATTATTTTTATATAACATCTTAATAACTACTTATGATTGACTTATTTTATAGCCAGAATTTTATAGCCAAGATGTCAAATCTACAGCCGTTATTACCTTTATTGCTGAAATCATCAATTAAGACAATTTCTGCTAAATACTTCCTCGGTGTTCTTTTGATCACACTGTGTACTGTTCTCATGAGGGTTGACCATCCTTCATTATGGAAGACAATGACAACACTCGAAGTGAGCAGGTTTTCATCATAATGCCAATACTTGCATCTGTAAAAAGAAAATTTCACCATATATAGTTAGAGGGAATCTATAACACTTGCTCCAAAGTCTCTGCGACTGAATTTTCTGATTGGATTAAATATTTTTTGATTTATCTAAGGAAACAGTATGAAGCGCTTGGGATCTCAGCAGAAACATAAGATCAAAGCGAGACGCTGGTGTTTAAAGTTTCTCTGAGATAAAGCTCCTTGGTATCAGCACGTCGTGTGATAAAAGACGATGCTAAAGATACTATTACAGCTGTCAGCTTGTTTTCCGTGTCACAGACATTACTTTATTTTCCTTTTGGAAACTTGAGCTTTAAGACTTATGCGGTTGTCTAATACGACAGCAAAAAGTATTCAGAAAAAATTAAGCAGGTTAACCAGGTACACATGGAAGTCTCTGGAAAACTTACTAGTAAATGAGTACAGCTCTAATACTGTCTGGACCTTCTGGACTGACAGAAAAAAGGATCTTTGGTTACTCTACAAAAGAATGTTTGAGACAATGGTAGCGGGAATGAAGCTGTTGGAAGCCTTTTCCTAACGGAAGGAATCTGAGAACAGGATCTGATGAAGACTCCGGAGCCAGGGGATACTTGATGAGCACATCTGAACGGGGGTAAGCCAAAGTTAGCAGCCTCATGCTCTTTCAGGGTGATTGCTCAAAATACAGAAATAGGAAAGTGTCAATCTTGGGCCTGCCCTGTGAGACAGACCAGAGGGTAAAGACACCTGCTGAGCAAACCTGGTTAAATTCCTGGAACCCAGACAGAAGGGACAGCATGAGTGTACTGATTTGGCTTTAAACCATTTATTGTATACTATTCCACAGTATGGGCTGTTCCATAATTGAGCGAATCATTTTCTTATTGATGGGCATTGCACTTGACTCTATGTCCTTATACAGGAATCTATCCTTCTAGATGTTCAAGTCCATAATCCGTTAAGGACAGAGCTTTGTTAGTTCCATTCAGCCCCAAGTTCCCAGCAGCTAACACACAACGGCTGCTCTATGACTGGGGACGACAGTTTTGATAACCACTCGATGCGTTTCCTTCTCTTAGAATGTCCATCCCATACAATCCCATTCTGAGATGCCTTTGAGTCCTGACGGCCCATATTCTGTGGGAGAGAAGCCCTCCCCGTTCCAGGAAAAGACAGAAGCTGAAGAGCTCCTAGTACGGAGAAGTGGAAAAATCTGGAAAGAACAAGAGGACAGAATGGAACAAAAGCAGACGAAAAGCCAAGTATGGTGGCTCATGCCTGTAAGTAACCCACCCCAGAGGTGGGGGCAGGATCAAGTCAAGGGCACCTTCAGCGACGTAGTGAGTTCTAGGCCACCCTGAGGTACAGAATGAGATCCTGTCTCAAACCAAACCAAAGCAACAACAAAACGAGGAGATGAAGGGACAGGCCTGTGCCACCTCCATTTCGTTCCAAGAGATGGCCTGGTGTGGAGCGTCTGCAGGGCAGAACACTAACAACAACTGAGGTGTATTTAGGCAGAGAAAGCTACAGTCTCCATCCCACATCTTCTTTACAGTCTCTCTTGGCTCTAGAATGACACACCCAAGGGCCAGAACTTTCCACGTGATTTCAATGGGGAGCAGAGAAGGTGGCTAAGCGTGGACAGGTTCACGGCTTGCCGTTCTGGGTGTCAGGGCACTAGGAGGTCGGAGAGTGGACAGCGAATCTACGGTGCGGAAGCTTTAGGCCATGGTTTGGCTCTAGACGACAAGTACAGCTCAGAGGACCCAGTGAGGTCCAAGGCGGAGATGAGTCCCCAGGGTTAGGATGGCATGGAAGGAGCCACCAGTCACAAGGGCTGCCAGAGTCACCGGGTCACTGCCGCATGATTTTCTGTGGTTAGACTGTGTCCCCAAAGCTCAAGTGTTGCAGACCTGATCCCTAAAGGCGAGAGTGTTGGGAGGTGGAGCCTTGGGGGTGAGTAAACATATTCATCCTGTTACCATCACAGTGGGTTTCTCAAAACTGTGGGTTTAGCACCTTCCTATTGCGATGTCTCACTCATTTACACAGCAACAATTCTGCTCTCAAACCTTTCCCCACGATTAGCTGCAGTAAGGAGGTCCATGCCGCATGGCCGTCCCTCAGTCTGAAAGCTTCTCAGCCCTCAGAATTCTGAGACTTTTCATTTTTTCATAATTCTCACGGTGTGGTCTGTCACAGTAGCAACACAAGGGGTCTAACACCAGTGTCTCAGAAGCGGATGAAGAGTTCGGTGTACTCAAGGAGCCAGGACCCCCCTCACTCAGGGCCAGAAGAGGGCAGCACCTCAAGAGTGCCAGAAATGGGACCTCTGCAGTATAGAAACATGCTATAGAAGTGTGAGCCCTGGGCCGGGAACCAGCCCCGCCAGAGCCGTAGGGCAACACAGATGGCGTTCATTTAACCGCAGGCTTCCCTTTGCCACGGGCAGCCAGAATGGACGCAGGTTCGAGTGCTCATCATCCACAGTGTCTTGACGTGAACACCGACCGGGGAAGGGGAGATCCTGGACTGGCAAGCCGGCTGGCTCAGCGGGGACAGGTGCCTAACCGCTGTGCCTGAAGATCTGAGCTGAATCCCTACGATGGAAGGACAGAGCTGACTCCTGCAAGCTGAACTCTGACCTCCACACACAGTAAATAAACGTGAAAAGGAAGAAAAAGAACTATCTGTGATACTGTGGTAAAAACCCTGTCTTGCATCATGTCTCACCTCACTGCTATAAAATCTGCAATAGATTAGTCTCCTTTATCCGTGGTGTTCGCTAGTTACTTGTGGTCAAACATGGCTCAGTAATAGAGTACTATATAGTTAAGATATCAGGAGAGGCCTACTTGCGAACTTAAGTTTATGATCAGTTATTGATGTTTGTTAATCTCTTAGGATGCCTAATTTATGGACTATTTTTATCATAGGAAGACATGTTTAGGAAAAGATGTAGTATACATACATACATACATACATACATACTATCTGCGCCTCCAGGAACCTACTTAGGGGTCTTGACCGTATCCTCTCCAGATAACTGACTGGGAGTTGTGTAGGAAAGAAAACCAATCGCAGTGAGAAGCCACGTTTAGGTGGATGGGATAGCTACATGCTTTTGACTCATTTCTGCTCCCCAGCATCTCATGCTCCAAGAGAGCTTTTCAGTCTTCCAGCATCGAGGACAGCAGGACTCAGCTATGCTGGAAAACTGCTCTGATCACAGGCACTCATATTCAGGTTAGAAGCTTGTAATATGGAGTGATCCTTGTCATCCTATGGAACGTTTTCATGGTAACTTCGGAGACAAGTGCTTGCTACAGGAGAAGAGACAGAAAGCATTTGGGCGCATGTGGCTACATGCGTTGTGTAGGAAAAGGAGGACATCAGGTTTCCTTCTCGGTCACTCTCTACTGTCTTCCTTTGAGATAATCTTTCATTGGGCCTGGAGCTATGTTAGCAGCCAGAATGCCTCATACAGTGCTGAGGTTATAGGCATGTGAGGGCACGCTTGTTTTTGTTTTTGTTTTTAATGTGAGTGCTGGGGATTCGAATCCAGGTCCTCATGCTTGCACAGCAAGCACTCTTACCCCTGAGGCATTCCCGCTTCCCCAAGCATTTCACTGTGACTTCTGTAATTTACAAAAGTACATTTCAGATCCAAAAAAGGAACCATGTATCAACACATACTTGATCGATCTCTATAGATCTGGTATCATCTGTAGTTTGATACAGAACCTTGCCACAGGGGCTAAGGGGTGGTGTTAGAGCTGAGAGTGCTTGCTGCTCTTCCAGAGGACCCAAACTAGGTTCCCAGGACCCACACGGGGTGGCTTACAACATCCTGCAACTGAATCTCCAAAAGGATCTAATACCCTCTGGTCTCCCGCAGGCGCCCACACCGTGTGCCATACATAAGACACACTCATACACACAAACACATACACACACACAACACACACAAACACATACACACACACAAAACACATACTCCTAGTTAGAACAGAATAATTTAAAAGTCTTGTAATTAAACTATCGATAAATAATATTCTAGTTAAGCAGACTATGAAAAACCCAATAGTTTTAGGTTATAAGCTGTTGTGATTTACATGGACTATCATTAATCTACAGCACTATACATATGCACGTGTGTGAGAATGTTACTCAACTTCCACCCTTTAGGAGCTGTGTCTTATTTCTAGATTATTCACACAAAGTCTTTATTTTGATAAGGAGTAACTTTAGACTCTCTCCTGTTAATTCTGCAGGAAGTCTAAATCTAACAGGGAGGAAGTTTTAGGCACAGGAATTAAACTCACAATTTGAGAAACACTGACTTTATTAACTACCTCTTCCATTTAAAAATAAATACAGTGCTTTTCCGGCTTCCATCTGAAAATACTGTTTATTTAAATAACTAACGGAAGAGAAAAATGCTTAGAATCTACCTGAAATGGAGCTTACAATAAATTCCCAAACATATTAGAAATGTAGACACGAAATTTAACAGCATTCAGAAATACCTATTTTATCTTTTTGGGGGGCGGGGCTTGAGACAGGATTTCTTTGTGTAACCCTGGCTATCCCAGAACTAGCTCTTTAGACCAGGCTGGCCTCAAACTCACAGAGATCCCCCTGCCTCTGCTGGGATTAAAGGCATGGTCCATTTTCAATTCAACCAGAGTTACAGCCATTAAACCTGTGCATCAAACTCAACAGACTGGCCTTTATCCAAGGGTGTGGTTTCTGTGCATTATGGGTGGAATAGTACGGAGTTAGCACCTGAGAATATAAGTGCTACTCCTTCAAATGTATGTATGCAGAAAGATACAGAATTTAACAACAAAAAACCTAGAATGTTACTTCCTCATTAGCACTCTCTGGATATGCATTTTATCAGTGTGGCTCCTGGAGAAAATTTGATGATTTTCAGCCCTCTTAAGGGTGTAGTGCCTCAAACTGGCTCTAGGTATAACTCTTTCATGAGTTCCAACAAAATTACATTAGCCC